TGTTTTTAAAATTTCAGATTTTGAACCTGTACAATAATCAACACTGACACTTGGCTTTTATAAGTGTGGGTGAGCACTTACTTTTTTGAATGTTTAGTGTTATTTACTGTGTCTTTTAATTTATAATTTTCTCGTAGTGCAAGCTAACATACTGAGGTAATTTGTTTTAATTTAACTAAATACAGATTTAAATAAAATGTGGTTACATCTACCCCATAGAATATTGTGAAAGAATTTACCTGGATTTCAAGGTTCAAGCTCACAGGTGTCATATTAGATATCCTATATTAAAATTGGCTAACTTGGACTCAGGAAATGCTTAATGCTCAAAACGACACTTAAGACCATGTATGTCTAGTTCCTGGAGCAGATAGCCCCCACCTGTGCTGTCTCTCCTAAATCAGTCTGTTCCTTCTCTTTCCCGGAACTTATCTGTTATATGTACATGATGTTCATCCCTATGTCTTATCTGTACTCCTGCCCTGTTATTTCACTCCCTTCCTTCTAGTGTTCTATGAGTATTTGCACGTAAGCACTTACTTTTTAATGTATAAAAGCACATGACATGTGCACAGTCATTATTCGGCATGTGTTATACAAAACCTTAACTTCAATAACACACAGACACCAGTTATTCTGTTGGAGTATAAAGTCCACAGCTTTATTGAATTATTATATATTTCAATAAATTAACATATTTAGGGTCATTGTCACAATTGAACATTATGTTACTATCCCCCCCGCACAAAACCCTTGACAATGACCCTATTACTTGAACAATAAAAAACATCCAGATAACACTTAACTTATAACACACGGCCTACCAAAGAGGTCCCATAACCATAAAGTTAACTGTAGGGGTGTACCTGGACACCCCCACACTACTAGATTCGTGGCCACCGAAGAGCTCAAACCTACCACCTCTTATTTCACTCCGACCTACTCCAGCCTAGACCTTGGCCTGTCCACTTCCAGTTCCACCAGAAATCCAATTTTTACTATGCCCTGTTCCTGCCGCTGTGACCAAACGGGAAATTACCTCAAAATCTTGGGAGGGTGGGAGGGACAACTAACAGGTAAGTGAGGCTCAGATTAAAATGGCCACTCTCTAAGATGGCCGCTATTTAACTACCCATACTCCACCCCAAAATACATTAACCTAATCCATCCCTTAACTCAATTTCACCTGCCCACTCACTGGCCCTGTCAAGGCCCACTCCCCACTGCGTTGCTCCATGGGCTTCATGACATGTGCACAGTCGTTATTCGGCATGTGCTATACAAAACCTTAACTTCAATAAGACACAGACACCAGTTATTCTGTTGGAGTATAAAGTCCACAGCTTTATTGAATTATTATATATTTAAATAAATTAACATATTTAGGGTCATTGTCACAATTGAACATTAGGTTACTATCCCCCCCGCACAATACCCTTGATAATGACCCTATTACTTGAACAATAAATAACATCCAGATAACACTTAACTTATAACACACGGCCTACCAAAAGAGGCCCCATAACCATAAAGTTAACTGTAGGGGTGTACCCGGACACCCCCACATCACTAGATTCCTAGCCACCGAACAGCTTGAACCTACCACCACTTATTTCACTCCGGCCTACTCCAGCCTAGACCTTGGCCTGTCCACTTCCAGTTCCACCAGAAATCCAATTTTTTGCACGCCCTGTTCCGCCACAGCACATGACTTGACCCCTTGAAATCATGCAGGACCCCCACCACACTTAAACAGGGCCTGTGTAATGCCTTCCTGAAACCCCAAGTTAAGTAAGTCACTCCCGACATCCGACAAATGAAGTCCGTCCTTCCTAAAATATCCTGGCAACATGCCCTCCAACTCTACGCCACCCAAACATCTAATAAAAACTGCCATGGTCTTATTGACCTTACCCCTACATCGGGCTACTGCAGCTGGATTCCTGACGTTCCACCATATAAAGCAAGGCACCATCTCAGACCACACCACCACGCCAGGAACCAGCCCCAGCAGCCAATCCATGTCCCTCTTCATTCTCCTTACCAGTTCCCGTTTGGGGATCAAGGTCGTTCCCCCCGCCGTGAACCAATATTACATCCAGGACAGCTCCACCCGCAACTTTTCTAAACAATATGCTACTCAAACTCTGCCAACTAAACCCCCAAAAGCCAAACCATGATAACGCCACCCACTCCAGAGGAAAGCCCAGCTGTGTTCCATTTCTTCTAACTGCAGCCCTCTTCTGTGCCCAGTACACGTACAAGTGGCCAATTATCCAAACCGTCCAACCTGAAAAGAAACAAAACAGTTACCTGGCAGAGCCAACTCCCACATTTACGAGCCCCCCCCTTCTCCCCCAATTCACACCAACCTGTCGGGCCTCATGTACGAGCTGAATCGCATGGATTCCCACCTCCCTATTTGCTTAATCTGCTCATCCCCCAAACCCAGGTGTGCCGCCTCCGTTGCCACCCCGATACGGAACGAGTGCATCCTGAACTGCATGGCTTCCAAGCCCAGCTTCTGTAAACACAAACGAAAAACCCATAGGAACTGAAAAGCGACAGCGCCATGCCGTCAGCGTGTATGAACAAACATCCTTGGTCGAATTTCTAAGTACCCCGTGCCGCAAGCTACCGGGCACACCCACGACCGTGGCAGCTCAAATAACACAACTGAGCAGCTTTGCCAAAAATGCCCAGCCTGATCCGTACCTGTTTTTGAGTGTCTTTTGCCGCTTTCCGACTGAAAATGAAGCAGCGCATCAACCACTACATTCGAAAACCCCAGGATGTGCCTAGCCCTGAGTACTAACTGCCATAATAAATATACCACCAGGGGGGACGATGCCGACAAACTGTTGATTGCCTGCACCACCGCCATGTTGTCGGAATAGAATACGACTTTTTTATTTGCCAACTCCGAAGCCCATAAGGCCACTGCTACCACTACTGGAAAGAATTCCAAAAACATCAGACTTGTTTTCCACGCCTCTGGCTATTCCTCGGCGCACCATTGCCCTGACAAATATGCCCCGAACCCAATGCTGCCTGATGCGTCAATGAATAGCCCCATGGTTTCAGATGATGCAACCGGTTCAAGGAAAAACACCCTTCCATTAAATTCCCGTAGGAACCCATCCCACACCACTAAGTCCGCCCTCATGTCCGCCGAAACCCTGATGTAATGGGTCGGCAACCTGACCCCGCTCGTCGCTTGTGCCAACTGTCTACAGAAAATCCTCCCCATGCACGCAAAATTGAGGCTCTTGCCCTCCGCAGGGGAACCCCGAAAGAGTGTGCTACCCATTGGAATATTTTCAATATTTGACTGCAACTATCTGAATCCCATGGGCCTACACATAAAAAGTCGTCTAGGTAGTGCACTAACTCGCCCCCCGCCGATTCCTGCCGTACCACCCATTCCAAAAACGTACAAAACTTTTCAAAATAAGCACATGATATAGAAAACCCCATTGGTAGGCATAAGTCCACAAAAAAAAACCCTTCAAAGCGACACCCTAAGAGGTGATGACAGTCCGGATGTATAGGAAGCAGCCGAAAAGCTGCTTCCACATCCACCTTCGGCATCATTGCCCCGCGCCCTGTTCTCCGGACCAACGTGACTGCAGTGTCGAATGATGTATAGGATACAGAGCACAGGGCCTCGTCGATGTCATTATTTACCGAGGCCCATTTTGGCTACGATAAGTGATGTATCAAACGAAACTTGCCCGCCTCTTTTTTAGGGACCACCCCTAGTGGAGAGACCCGCAAATACGCTAATGGCGGGGATGGAAACGGTCCCGCCATCCTCCCCAATTGGACTTCCTTACTTAACTTCTCCCGCACCACCCCCGGATGCTCCCGGACGGACTTGAGATTCGCGCATACATTACCCGGTCCTTTGACTTTAAAGGGAATCGTAAAGCCCTCCCAAAATCCCTGCCATAAGAATCTCACATCGTCTTGGTTAGCGTATTAGCCAAGGCCACATCGCGCCTATTTTCACCGGTGACGCCCCCAGCTGTAATCGGAAGGGCTGCTGCCCCAGCGGTTCCTCCTCCGGCATTAGACTTCCCTTTCTTGAAGCATCTGTTGGCGCCGTGACTCCCCCACATCCTGAACACTCGTCCCTAAACCTACACGAAGCTCCCCACTTGCATTGGCCTTCAGTATAAAGCCAGCAGAAGCCCTTCTTTTGCCCAGCCAACACAGTGCCCCCTGTAGCCGCGGCGGCTGTCCCCGCAAAGGGCCATCATAAGCTTCATCCATAACGGCAGGTCCATCTGGTCCCACCGCATGTTAGGATTAGCTGCTAAGCGCTGACGAAACTGCTCATCGTATCTCCACCATGCTAACCCCCCGTACGTCTTATATGCATCCCCTATTCCATCCAAGTAGCAGAAAAGTTGTGAACAACGATCCAGGCACTTTTACCTGATTACGCTAGCCAAAATACAAAACGCCCTCAACCAATTCCCAAAGGTCTTTGGTATGTTACGATACCTCCGCCTTTTCTCCTCTTTTTTGGCATCTTTCTTGTCCTCTTCCTTTAAATTCAAGAATTCCTCGAGGGGGAGAAGGGAAAATATTTCCACAAACTCCCCTTTCCAAATTTTGTCCTTAAAGGGACTTTATAGTCTACATATAAAACCAAGAAAGACAGGTCCCCCAGCCTTCCTTCTTGCTTTTATATGAACTTTCAGCAAATAAAAATAATTTTCGAGGCTTTTTTATATTAAAAACTTACCTCCGGTCCAGCGCCGAGCTCCCCGCTAGGCCACACCCCTTTTTTGTTAAAATGACGAAATCGAGGGGCACAATGGGACGCTTCTCTTTGAAAAGCGTCATCGCGATGTGGTGCGCATGCGGGACTTCGCACTGCACCAATCGCGTTCTTTATAGAGTGGCATTGAATGCCGCCCTATGAAGACACTCATCGTCTCTACCGCGCTCGCGAGCTGAGCTGTCTGACTGACAGCTCAGCTCGCTTTCTATACCTTCCCCCTTCCTCAGCCAAAATGTGTGTTTGCATAGAAACACTATATATAGAGATCTCTATGCAAACACACAAGTAGTAAAAATTAAAGACATACACACACTCTCTCTCTCCATCCATCCCAATCCATATCCATCCATCCATCCCCATCCATATCATCCATATCCATCCACTCGCATCATCTATATCCATCCATCCACTCCCATCATCCATCCCCATCTTCCATATCCATCCCAAAATCCATCCATTCCCATCATCCATATCCATCCATCCACTCCCTTCATCCATATCACCCACTCCCATCATCTATCCACTCCCATCATCCATATCCATCCCCAAATCCATCCACTCCCATCATCCATATCCACCCACTCCCATCATCCAAATCCATCCACTCCCATCATTCATATCCATCCCCATCATCCATTCCCATCATCCATATCCATCCCCATCATCCATATCCATCCCCATCATCCATATCCATCCACTCCCATCATCCATATCCATCCACTCCCATCATCCATCCATTCCCATCATCCATATCCATCCCCAAATCCATCCACTCCCATCATCCATATCCATCCCCAAATCATCCACTCCCATCATCCATATCATCCATCCATCCCCATCATCCATATCCATCCACTCCCATCATCCATCTACTCCCATCATCCATATCCATTCCCAAATCCATCCACTCCCATCATCCATCCACTCCCATCATCCAAATCCATCCACTCCCATCATCCATATCCATCCCCATCATCCATATCCATCCCCATCATCCATATCCATCCACTCCCATCATCCATCCACTCCCATCATCATTATCCATCCTCACCCACTCACCCTCAGTCACCCACCCACCCACACTCACTAAATAAGTTTACTTACACAGTTTGAATCTTCCCCTCCTCCTCTTCGGTCTGCAGCCTGTCAGCTCAAGCCACTCCCACAGCGGTGCTGACAGCCTCAGCACACAAAGTGCGTTCACAGTGCTTTGTGTGCTGATAGCAGGTCTGAAGTATTCACCCATGCGTGAATACGTCAAACATGAATTAATCCTTTTTAGGGCTTCTGAACTCAGAAGTCCCTCTGGTGGCGGTCCGATTGACTGCAACAAGAGGTGTTCCAAGCTTCCAATGTAAACACTGTATTTTCATTAAGCTGAAGTTGTTCAGGTGTCTATAGTGTCCCTTTAACCTCCGCCTTCAAATGACATCCCAGGGGCCCCAAGGAGGACACGTGTACGTTCTGTCGCGCCGCGTCTGGTATATCGCCACACCCTTCTGCCTGTACACCTCCCCCTTCAGACGTCCCTGGTGACGCTGCTGTTTCACCCAGCTCACCTCCGCTTACCCTCTTTGCCATCGCCCCTGCTGACCTAA